CATAAACACCTTTTAAGGTGTCACACCACCCCTGAAACACTTCCAAAAGCTTCCATGCGTGCTTAGAGCCTTGTAATCCTTCGTTTGATGCACCAAAGCATACAAAAACATGTCACACTTGAGTTTACGGTCCAAGAAGGTTCTTAGACCGTAAACACCTATTATTTGACCATAAACACCTCCAAAGGGTGTTAAAGTGACCTTATCACTTTGTAATGGCTTGGAATTGGACCTAGAACTTCTTATGCTTAACCTACAACCACCAAAACATAGGATTCATGGATAAAATGAGTTTACTACCGTAAACTCATGTGCTTAAGGTATTAAACTCCCCAAGAACATCTCCTTATACCATAAACACCTTTCCAAGGTGTTTAAGTTCCCCCCAAACACCTTCCTATGCTCCTAAAAGTGACAAGAACCTTACATGCATGAGTTAGAACCACCAAACAACGAAAGAAATGGACCAACATGAGTTTAATACTGTAAACTCATGTATTTGTGGTCATAAACTCCTCAAGGAGTATTCATAGGCCGTAAACTCCTTAAATGGCTCATTTTGAAGCCTTAAACCCTTCATAAGACCTAGAATTGAACCTAGCCTAGTTCCACAAGTGTTAAAAGACCTTAATGCATCAAAGAACACACCATCCATGATTTTACGGCCATAAATGTATGGGGATAAGGTCTTAGGGCCATAAACTCTATAAACAGTTTACTCTTGAAGAGTAAACTCCCTATCTAGGCCATACACACCTTTAGATGTTACCCGGGACACTCCTAGCACTTGAGCAAAGTGTTTTCCGCATCTTAGGATGCTTATACGTGTTTAATTAGTATTATATTTACTAATTGTGTGTAAACATATGTCATCATATGTTTATAGGTCACTAAGTGTGTTCAAGTCTTTACTTGACACCGAGCACCTAACCGGCACTTTCGTTCGATCCACTTGCAACAGGTGAGTTCATACCCCTGAATTAACCTTTTAAATGTTTTTACATGATTTTATGGGGGGGAATACAAGTTAAACATGCCAGTTATCATATCAATCACATGTGATTGATAACTCGCATGCACAAGGATTTATTACACTGTCAACAATTTACCAAGTATGATACTGTAATTGGTTTTCCAAAACGTCTCTAATTGTTCAAAGCTTTTCTCAAATTGTCTCTCGCGCTGTATGTTTTATTCAAACTCAGTTACAGCAACATTTTAAACAAATGTTTTCTGTATTTATATTGTTTTATCAAAGTTATAATCAAAACTTGTTTATGAATGATTTTCAAGGGTTTCTAATGGTTTTCAAACTTATTTTACAAAAGAATACCAAGTCATGATTTTCTTAAGTATAAAGGTTTTCCAAAGTTTTTCATCAAAGTTTTCTTCCATGTTTTTATACTCCTACTTTGTTAGATACTACTGCTTCGTTACACTTCTACTTAGTTAATGCTCCTACTTAGTTAAATGCTACTACTTTGTTAACGCTTTTACTTCGTAATTCGCTCCTACTTATTAACGCTTCTACTTCATGATACGCTCCTACTTCACGATATGCTCCTACTTCACGATACGCTTCTACTTATTAACGCTTCTACTTCACGATATGCTCCTACTTCACGATACGCTTCTACTTATTAACGCTCCAACTTCACGATACGCTTCTACTTCACGATACACTTCTACTTGTTAAACACTTCAACTTCATTAAATGTTCCTATTGGTTAAAGGACTTAGGAAGGCTAGTTTGCCTTATTTCCTTTTCCTCGTTTAGATGTGGTCTGGTGGGATCGGATATTCATTCGAAGGTCATTGATCATTAATTATATATTATGTATACATGTATAGACATATAGGTTTACATCGATCGGTTCAGTTATGAGTCTCTATCATTATTCCGGTATTTACATCAGAATTCACTACACGAGATGCATCTTCAGGACACGGCCTTCTCTGTTGTCTAGTTGGTAACCAGAGTCTCCTGTAGGGAGAGCGAGCATTGTGTGCATAGATCTATACGGGATTGACACCCCCACACCCTGATTGCTAGCTATAGTCCACAGCCTACCAAGCCAAGGGGTGACAAATGTCACATACTTTCTGACGCTTGCAGGGTGTCAAGTTCTCTAGTGTCTATCTGTATGGTTACGAGTATCTCGGGGTTACCTTATAATTCATGGCCTTATGGTAATGGGAAATAACACTGTATTCACTGTTTTTAGACCTTGCTAGATGTATGCTTCATTTGATACTGTCTGGGGTCTGTGTTTCCTCTCGTTAGACTGATTCAGGTGTGTCGATCATTCGATACTCTCCTGGATTCTATGATTTCTTTTTACTTAGTCAGCATCATTTCCTGTTGAGGCATACGTTATTTTTCCCTAATGTTTTTACTTGTGATATCCTTTTACTTCCTTTAAAATCAAATATCGTGTTTTGGTAATGATAATATTTTAGGGAAAATACTCTTTAAAACATAACACTGTCGGGTCTTGGTAGAAGACTACTTTTAATTAGAAAATATAGGATTTTCCCATAAGGACTCTAATACACTGTTGATTCTAAACTACTACTTTTATAAAGTTATTTGAGTAAAATGACACTAAATACTTATGAGCTCACCAGCATTTATAAAAATGCTGATACTCACTTTCAAATAACTTGTATTCTCAGGTCAGCAATAGACAGGTGCATCCCAGGAGCTTTGGGTGAAGATAGTTTAGTACCAAGTTGCACCTATATTATTACTTGTATTACTTTAATGTCTCTATAAAATGTAAACCATGTAAAACGTTTACTATTAATGCAATGGTTGTTGTACTTTGATTACTATGCTGCATATGTTGTGATACTTGACATGATGTCATCCACCCCAGAACGTTTCCGCCGTTCCGGTTTTGGGGTCTGACATTTTGTGATTAAAAATATGATTTAAAAATGAAAAATTGTTTTGAAAATTTACATCGTTACAAGTTGGTATCAGAGCCTTGGTTTAAGGGATTTGGGTGCAACTTCGGATGTATCTGAACTCAAACTGAGGATTTTAGAAAGTTTTTCATAAATAAACAATTTTTCTAAGAGAGTAAAGGATTTTGGAAAAAGGTAGAACGGAGCAGTGTGTAGGATCATTTAGCGCCTGAACGGTGATTTCCCAAAATACCCTTACATTATGTCTTATGAGATATGTTATGATATGATATGCATGATAGAGTAGGCTAGGTATTCATATTAGGACTAGAGTGGCCTGATTTGTGATGCCTTAGCCTAGGAAGATTTCTCCTACTACTAGATACTTGAGAGTGAGTAGGTAGTAGTGAGGAGCTTATGAGAGGTTTACCAAAGGGTAGCCTATGCTAGCGAGATGTAGAGTACATGTGAACTGAGATCCAAAGAGGAGGACTTGGGGTGAATACTGATGCAGAGAGACATCACGGTTGGGACACACCATACACCTGAGAGTAGTGGTGTTAGTGAGGCGGAGATCTGCAGGTTGATTCATGAGGACGTGGCTGCTGCCATCTGATCCAAGATTCCGGAGATGTTTGGGTGTATCAAGACCACATTGAATGAGACTTTCAATGAGTGGTATGCAGCAGTGACTGAGGCTGCGGATGCTGCAGCTACTGCAACTGTGGCTGCTACCAAGCCTCAGGCAGGTGACTCGTTGTAGTTTTGGGAGTTCAGCAACACGAAACCACCAGAGTTTGATGGGACGCAGGATCCGATCGCTAAGATGTGATGGATTTCTGATATCGAGGGATGCTTCTACATGTGTTCATGTCCGGAGCATCTGAGTGTATGGTTCGCACTGAACCAACTTCACTTGGGAGTGAAGGACTGGTGGAAGTTCGTGACGTCGAGCTTTACTCTTGCAGATATTTCAGAGGTCACCTTGGAGAGGTTCACCACCATGTTCAGAGATGAGTATGTTCCCCCAGTGTAGGGGGAGCGGTTGGCTCAGAAGTTCTTAACCCTCAAGTACGGTACTGATTCGGTTACTGTGGTTACCAGGATGTTTCATGCGAGGGCGATGTTCTGCCCTAAGCAGGTGTCTACCAAGCTGACACACATGATTTAGTATTTGAGCATTTTGAGGAAGGATATTCGGGAGTTCGTATCGAACTCGACTTAATGGAGTTTCATGGCTGGTATGTATTCTTTCACTTATTTATGTTGAGTTTGAGGTGTTGTGCTTATATTATGATATGCGTAGGTACTTTTCTTGTGAATTATGTACCTGCTTTGGTGTTATTTGACTCGAGTGCGAGTCGGTCATGTGTTTCCTTAGCATTTAGTCAGCACATCAGTATCCGACGAGAGGCGCTGAGTCGACCTTGCACTACTAGAAAAAAGATCTTTAATGACGCGCTTTTTACGACACGCGATAATTAACGATACGCAAAAGGATGTGCCCTTAAAATAGTGTTATCTCTCCAAAAAATTTAAGGATTTACGTCACGCTTTATTGTGTGCCCTTAATTTAGTGTCTCAAGAAAAAAAAATTAAAAACACGGAGGGCGCTTTATCTTAAACGCGCGTCGTCTGTACCTGTCACTTTATAATTTTAATGAAACGCGCTTTTAGTAGACATGGGGGGAAATGAAATCCCCAAAATTTTGAAAACCCGCCTTTTTTTTCTATCTTCTATCTATCTTTCACCTTCAACCTAACAAGGACGAGCATTGCACTCTTGATTTCCCTAACTCTTTCTCATTTTCTGATTCAAACTTGAAAGAATCGAAAAAAAATCTATCAATTTTGAAGCCTAAAAAAAATCTAACAAGGACGAGTATCCATCGATCCGGCTTCCAAAAATAGAGGGCATCGATTCCACGTCTTCCGGGGTTGGGAGGAAGGAAAAACTGTTGGTCCCGTGTTGGTTTTGTGATGTTCAATTGAAGAAAAGGAAATCAGAATCGACAAAAAAGAGACCGGCTGGCCAGGTGTGTTCGTCGGCCCTCTACTGCCTCTCCCTGTTTGCTCTACCTTCGAAAAAAATGGAGGGCAGCCGTCGTGACGGTGCTGACCACCGGAAAGTGCAAACGAACTCGATTAGGGTATAATGCAATCATTCATGATGCCAAAGGTAATTGATTAATTTTTTTTCAGTTTTTAGTTCACCTCTTTTACATGGATTACTTGCAGGTAATTAATTAATCCGGGCGGTCACTTATTTTCTCCACCATTGCTGCATTCGCTAATATCCACTCTGACCTCTTATGAATGCAAATGGTAAAGATCTGCTTCGATTTCCCGATTGGTCTTCAGAGTGATCTAATTGTGTTGATACTCTTCTATCTTATTTGGATTCTCCAAGCCATATGCTACTGTGGCGGTTCGGTCAGTGAGTTATTCATCGACAGTGGTGGTGAGTCGGAGGTGCCATGTTGATGTGATTATTACAATCGATTGCAGAAAATGAGAAGATTTAGGGTTTCTTTGGTCCAGTGGAATACTTTTAGGTTTCATCTCGACTCCTTTTATTTTATTTTCTTTCTTTTCCTTTCCTTCTGCCATCTGCTTCCTTTCCCCACCTCTTCTTTCTTATTTGGATTCTCCAGGCGATATGCTACTGTGGCGATTCAGTCGGTGGCGGGTCAGCCTCAATTTCATAACATTTTAAGGGATTGTTGTTGGTGTTCATCGACGGTCGTGGTGGGTCGGAGGTGCCATGGTGATGTGAAGAAATAGAGAAAAAGGAATATAGTCATCACTTCCTGATACCGACGACGATCCGTTTTATGCATTAGCCAGATTGAATGACTTCAAAGGAGGTCCGTATTTCTTTTGTATGTTTTTTTATCCCAATCAATGAATGGATTTTTTCCCCTGTATACGTTGGGCATCTTTCTTTTCTTTATGTATGACAAAGTGATCAAGCATAAAATCAGGGTGCAACTGGCAACCAACATGAACCAAATAGCAGCAACAAGAAATATGAGATTTAAGAAAACAAGTAATAATTAGTAATCAGGAGGGTAGGCTAGTGTAACCGTTTGAAACAATATAATAAAAAAAATTTCCAGAAGAGTCACAACTTTGGGATACTTGAAGTCTTCTTATAAAAGATAACAATAGTAGTTTTGATTTCCCTGGTCATCAACTATAATGGAGTCATGGGATGGACCTGCTTCACTGTCCTGTATGTTTTTGAGTTTTGAGTTTGTGTTCACTTTTATCTGTTACTTGAAAACCACACCCTCAAGAACATACATTTATTAGTATGTCTAATTAGAAAAAGAGGGTTTGAAAGTGTCAAAAGATATGGATTAGCTATCCATTTTCTACCCACTTCAATCTTTTTAATGTGTGATTATGTTTTGTTTTTAATTTCTTGAATGTGATTTATTGTAAAAGATTTTTTTTAATTGTGTAATTTTGTTGCAATTTTATACACAATAGTACCAAGGCCATCGGCTACTTTTGACATCTTCCCTTCTTGGCCTATGAGAGTTCATCAAACCCCAAGAGTATGTCTTTTTCCCTTATAATAATACCCGCTTCCCTGTTTGAATACGATTGGAAAGAAATACTCTATTTATAGTAAAATGGTTCCATGTACAGGTAGGTACTTGCTGATATGGTTCTTTTTGCTCAACCTCCAAATCTGGTCTCATGTAAGCAGTAGGAAATAATCGTGAAGAAAATTTGATTTTAACAGTTTTGGACCAAACTGCCCCTCCATACTATTTTTATAGTTAAAAATTTTGATTTTAACAGTTTTGGGCCAAAATGCCCCTGCATACTGTTTTTATAGTTATTTTTTATTTTCAACAGTTTTGGTTTTCTCTTACATGGTTGTTTCTTTTTCACTTAACCTAAACAGAATGAAATAATTGGTGAAGACACTAATTACCTATTTTCCCTTCTTCTTTTTTCCTCCCAATCCTCTCACGTTAAAGAATATTGTCAAATTTTGTTCTTTAGAATGTAAGGTAAAAATGGTCATTTGGTCTAGGATATTGTAAAATTTTGTTCTTTAGAATATTGTCATGGGTTTAATCAACTGGTACTGGCTCTTTAGTCTTTATTTTTATATCTTTTTATGAAATCAGCTTATGATATGAGCTCTGTTTTTCACATGGTCGAGGACCACTAATTGCTTAGGATGGTAACTGGGTTGTCTTTTCGCGCCCTCCTTTGATACACCATAAAGGCATGAAGATTCTCTCTCTCTCTCTCTCTCTCTCTCTCTCTCTCCAAATTCTAATACAAACAACAACAGGTAAATAGATGCCAACATTTTGCTTACAATTCTGTGAACATTGAAAAAGAACGAGGTCGATGGCGCCTTTTTCATGAGATTGTCAAAAGTTGAATAAAATAAATAAATAAACAAAGGTAATATTGTAATAGGGAGGGTCTTAATACATAAAGTGACCAACCTCTCACTTAGCACGACAAGTCATTTTGAGTTTATTAAGTAAAAAAGAAACAACCTTATCAATCTACATGCATTTAGTCATGCACTGCTGTCCCACAATTTGTCATCATAGAAGAAGACCCTGCTGTCCCACAAGGGTAATATTGTAATAGGGCTGTTTTATATGTCATCATAGAAGACCCTGCTGTCCCATAATTTTTAACAATTTGTATTATCGTTATTTGATTTTAATAATAATTTGTTTTGTTTTATTGTTGAGGTTATAGACTGATAGTCTTACTTTTCATGTCATTATTATTTATTTCTTTTTTTGTTTGTAGTTTCTTGCAGATACTTTGGATGTTGTTCAAGACATTGATTGGGTCATTTCTCTTGGAAATGCTTTTGCAAAGCAGTATGAGCTTTATACATATGATGATGAGCATTCTGCACTACTTCACAGGTATGAACTAATTATCATTATCATTACATTTTTTAATTAAATTATCTTATTGAGAGTATTCTTCTCCTACAAATGTCTTGGTATACTTCTTCAGAAAGTTGAAAACATGACTTATGTTCGTGATAAAATCGTCTGGATGTACAAACAAGCAAATAATCTAGATTTCAAGTATTCCAGCACCTTGATAATTATTACATTGCTATGTTTCACATTTAACCCTGTTTTCTAATATTGTTTTGGTTGAACATGTTATTCCTCAAATTTTAACAGATTCTTGAATTGGGACTCACCCCTGCAGCTTTCTGAATGCATGCTTATTTTGGTGCTGGATTAAGTGGAGTTCTGGCTTGGTGTGTGCGAATGGGAAGGAACCAACCCAATGCCCCCGGATTTCTGTCACCTTCCATCTTTACTTCCTATGTATCCAGGTTAATCTACTTGTATTTATTCAAGTCTCAAAGTGTGTATTCCAATATCAGGTATCATGATTTGTGTATTTATAAAATTTTGAAATAGGGTCTTGTTCAATGCTTTAGCTGTGTTTGCTCTAAGGGAGATCAACTTATCAAAAGTAAGTTACTGTTTCACCCTTTTATTTAATATTTTTGTGATTGAATGAAAGTAATTGACAACCCTTTCTTTGTAAATGATGTTGTGATTGTGGGAGAGGTGTTGTGTTTTTCTCTGTTGCTAGGTAACCTTCTCAACAACAACATTCTACTTAAGCAGGTGAGTAATCAAGATTAAGGGAGACTTGTAATCATGTTTGACATTCCTTTCCAGTAAGAAACAGAGTTGTATGATTATTTGTTAGTTTTATAGGAATGTATAACCTATGTTAGCAATGTATTATTTTTGTTTAACATTTGAATGATTCTTTGTATGACATTACAATTTGTGCAATTTATTTTATTTTTTGAGTATGAAATTTTATTTTATATTATGCAATGGATTGTATTTTTTGTATATGGTATTTTATTTCTATTATGAGAAATTAAATGCAAATTTATTTTAAAAATAAATAAATCTATAAATTTATTTTTTTTAAACATTTAAAATTATGATACGCAAAAATGTCTGTCATCTTCATTTATGACATGGCCTTTCTTGACAGGGGCTTTCTTGATACGCATTGCGTGTCATTAACACGTGCGTCGTAAGGTTACGACACGTGAATGCGTGTCATCTTCCTTTATGACAGGGACTTCCTTGATACGCATTGCATGTCGTAAACGCGCGTCGTAAATGAGCGCTGTCTATAGACGACGTGCAAAAGCACGTCGTCTCTCTTTATGACATGGCCTTCCTTGACACACATTTGCGCGTCGTCTGAGCCTTTTACGACGCGCAATGAGCATCATAAAAGGTTGTTTTTCTAGTAGTGTTGCGCCGCCAGAGATGCAGGAGTTATCCTTGCAGCTTCAGGAGCTGCTGGGGAAGGGGTTTCTTAGACCGAGTAGCTCACCATGGGGATCGCCGATCCTTTTTGTCAAGAAAAAGGACGGTTCACACCGGATGTGCATTGATTACCGGGAGTTAACTTGACGGTCTAGAACCGTTATCCTTTACCGAGGATCTACGATCTGTTCGATCAGTTGCAAGGGGCATCTTGGTTCTCCAAGATAGACTTGAGTTTGGGATATCATCAGATGAGAGTGCAAGATGAAGATATCCAGAAGACGGCATTCAGAACTCGTTATGGACATTACGAGTTTGTGGTGATGCCTTTTGGGCTCACCAATGCACCGAAAGCATTCATGGATCTCATGAATAGGGTGTGCAGGCCGATGTTGGATTTCTCGGTGATCATGCTCATTGATGATATTTTGGTGTATTCGAGATCTACAGAGCAGCACGGGGATCATCTGAGAGAGATTCTCAGGGTATTCAGGTCGGAGAGGCTTTTCGCCAAATTCTCCAAGTGTGATTTTTGGTTACGAGAGGTCCAGTTCTTGGGACACCTCATTAACCGTAATGGGATTTTGGTCGATCCGGCCAAGATTGAGGCGGTTATGAGGTGGGTGGTGCCGAGATTACCCACCGATATTAGGATTTTTCTAGGATTATCCGGTTATTATCGGAGATTTATCAGATATTTTTCCAAGATCGTCGTGCCTCTCACTAGGTTGACCTGGAAGGGTGTTGCTTTCTCATGGGGTCCGGAGCAACAAACCTCATTTGATACACTTTGCCAGAGATTGTGCAAAGCCCCGGTGCTATCCCTCCCGGAAGGGATGGAGGATTTTTTGGTGCATTGTGACGCATCGATATCGGGGTTGGGTGCAGTACTTATGCAATGGGGTTATGTGATAGCATATGCATCGAGGCAGCTAAAGCCTGATGAGACGAGGTATCCCACCCACGATCTGGAGTTGGGGGTGGTGGTGTTCTCCCTAAAGATCTGGCGTCACTATTTGTATGGGGTTCGGTGTACCATCTACACGGACGAAAAGAGTTTGAAGTATTTTATGGACCATCCCAATTCGAATATGTGCCATTGGAGATGGTTGGACATGGTAAAGGATTACAATTGTGAGATCCTGTACCACCCGGGCAAGGCTAATATTGTAGCTGATGCCCTGATTCGTAGGGTGGAGAGTGCCCCGATTCGAGACATTTGTATGTGGTTGACAATGATAACTCCGGTGTTGGACAGCATTCGGGAGGCCCAGATAGAGGCCATGAGACCGAAGAACCGTAAGAGAGAGCGGGTGATTGGGCAAGTAGCGAAGTTCATTACCGATAGTCATGGGCTGATGACCCTTCAGGGTCGGATTTGGGTGTCGTATGTAAGCGGGGCACGCACTACATTCATGGAGGAGGTGTATAGATCAAGATTTTCGATCCATCCCAGGGCCACTAAGATGTATTTGGATCTGAAGAAAGATTATTGGTGGCCTTGTATGAAGAGGGATGTAGCATGGTTTGTTGAGAGGTGCTTAACCTGTCGTAGGGTTAAGGCTGAGCACCAGCGTCCGCATGGCATGTTGCAGCCACTTGAGGTTCCCCAATGAAAGTGGGAACATATTTCTATGGATTTCATCACCAAGTTGTCGAGGACCACGAGGGGTGTCGAAGTAATTTGGGTGATCGTCGACTGGATGACGAAGAACGCTCACTTTCTTGCTATCAGTGAGAGCTCTTCTGCTGAGATGCTGGTAGAGTTGTATGTGAGGGAGGTGGTATCGTGGCATGGAGTTCCAATCTCGATTATATCAGATCGGGATGTACGTTTCACTTCCAGGTTCTAGAAGAAGTTCCACGAGGAGTTGGGCACGAGGCTGCATTTCAGTACTGCTTACCACCCTCAGAAGGACGGACAGAGTGAACGGACGATTCAGATGCTCGAGGACATGCTTCGGGCATGTGTGTTGGACTTTCAGAGGGAGTTAGGACATGTATTTGCCATTGTCTGAGTTTTCCTATAACAACAGTCACCATTCGAGCATTGGTATGCCTCCCTTCGAGTTGTTGTATGGGAGGAGGTGTCGGACTCCCATCTGTTAGGGAGAGGTAGGGTAGCGAGTGATGGGCAACACTGAGATAATGCTTCAGGTGACAGAGCAAATACAACAGGTCATCCATAGGTTGTTGACAGCTCGGAGTCGCCAGAAGAGTTATGCGGATAGACAATGATCCGAGCTCGAGTTTCAGGTCGGAGACTTCGTACTCCTGAAAGTGTCTCCTTGGAAAGGAGTGATTCAATTCAGGAAGAGGGGCAAGCTGGGCCCCGGTATATTGGGCCGTTCAACGTGACCGCGAGAGTGGGAAGGGTAGCATATCGATTGGAGCTATCCGCGAAATTGAGTCAGGTATATGATACCTTCCACGTGTCTCAGCTGAGGAAGTGTATAGCCGATGAGTCGGTAGTGGTACCGCTGGAGGATACTCAGGTGGATACGGGACTGAATTATGTTGAGAGATCGATCGCAATCTTGGATCGGAAGATCAAGGTTCTGAGAAACAAGGAGGTGCCCCTAGTTCAGGTCAATGGCAACAACGGAGAGGTTCCGAGCTGAATTAGGAGCCAGAGTTAGAGATGCAGGAGCAGCATCCGAAGTTCTTTTCAGCATGAGACTTCGAGGGTGAAGTCTAGTTCTAGTGGGAGATAATTGAAACACCCCGAAATTCGGGTACATCTATTTAACCCTTCTCCTTTGTCAAGTAGTCAAGATTAGCCCTCTAGTGGAAAGTGTTGCAAATGAGTATTTTGGGCGTACTGGAGAGTACGCTGCGCGGACTCATGCACTTAAGTTGGACGAGGACTCACCTAGATACGTTGGGCGTACCCAGGGTTACGCTGGGCGTAGCGGGCCCATATGTAAACCCTGATTTATGGCTTGTGCACTATAAAAGGAATGATAAGGCCTTATCCTCAGCCACCATTTCAGTGACTGAAACCCTAAGAGAGCATTTCCTTTGTCCTAAAGCTTGTGTGTGAGTATTTTGAGCTAAAGGTGCCTTTTTGTGTTAGTGAAGAAGAAGGAGAGGAGCTTGTGGAGGCTAGGGTTTGAAGTTCAGGCTTGGATCTGAGTTCTTCAGAGAAAGGAGCTTGACTTTGAGGTAAAAAGCTCATAAGTTTTCCTCTTTATTTTGGTTTGGTGGTTTATGGTCCATTTATAGGGTTTAAGTCCCAAAGGTGGAGACTTTATGAGCAAAAAGGGCTCCATGGACGTAGATCTGTCCCATTTTAGTGTTATGTGTGATGTTGATCCATAAAAATCCCATCTTGGTCGTTGTCATTGAGTCATGCTTGAGTTATGAGCTTTAGAGTGATGAAAGTGGAGAGATTTGGGTGTTGGTGACTCTCACAGCCATGCAAAGGCTTAAAGCCACCAACTTTATGGATTAATAGTCTTAGGGTGGTCTGATTTGAAGGCTGGTCATGGGTCTTAACCATTTAAGACCCCAAAAGCTAAGGAGTCTAAAACTGGGAGTTACGCGGGGCGTAATCCTAGTATGCGCAGCGTAGGGGGTCGCGTTCCCCGTTTCTGTGAGGTTGTCGGGTACACCCAATGTATAGGTTCGGTACGTGCAGCGTGACCCGTAGAGTTGACTTTTGGTTGACTTTTAGGGTTTGGTCAATGTTGGGGTCTTTGAGCCATGAGAGGGGTAAAATGGTCTTTTACCCTTCTGAGAGTGCTAAGAGAGGAATTTAGTCTAGCCTTGATATTTGTATTGATTAGAGTGCTTATTCTATGTGATTAGGTGGAGGCTAGACTAGATTTTACCGAGTTCGAGATTACCGAGTTACCCAAGAAGAGTCTTCTCACTATACTGTACCTGGAAGGGTACCTATGTGTGACCATAAGGTCTTATATGCTATGAGATGTATGTGCTATATGCTGATATGTGATATGTATGCGTTATGTATGCTATGTATGATGAGGAACGGAAGGTTAAGATGATATGGACCGGAAGGTCAAGAGGACATGGACCGGAAGGTCAGGAGGTTACGGACCGGAAGGTCAATACGGGTAGGACTGGAAGGTCTACCGGGATTCGGGACAGAAGTCCCCTGAGACACTTGCACCGGAGGGTCCCACAGAGTTATGGCCTGAAAGGCGTATGTGTTGTAAGTGGTATTTTAGGGAACTCACTAAGCATTTATGCTTACAGTTGTTGTGTTGGGTGTTTCAGGTAATAGCGAGGACCGTGGGAAGGCGCCGACATGATCCTTACATACTGAGAGGATTTATATAGTTGAGATCTTTTGAGATTATGGGATTTGTTTATTATGATGACAT